ATTTATAAACTAGAGCGAGCAGACTGATTAAAAACGTATCGTATAGTAACGCATGGGCGATGCTGCGACGTCTGTACATAAATTAACAAATTTGCCCCCGCCTGCTTATATAATAGAATGTATCGAAATATTGTTTTTTTCGCTTCCTTCCAGTTATGGATATGTTATGGTATGTTATGATGTGTGCAACACCCACAAGGGCTTAAGATACACCCACTTTTTATTTTACCTATCGAGTCCGACTTATATCCTGGATTGATTTAAGCACGTTTTTTTTCATCCGATTACCGTCCATATATTTGTCTGTCCAATTTACAAGTCGTAATTCTTAAGATACCAGCCCAACTGATTGTGGATTGGATTGAACCGTTTTTACGACCATTGCTCATACAAGATTTTATTTAAAAAAATTTGTTATAAATAAACAAAAAAAAAGTCGCGATTTTCATTATTTCTCGATAAAAATCGTAATATTATTTTTCTTTCATATTATGTTAATGTGAAAAATTTGGACCAGATGGATTGCTGTATTGAATTCCCTCCTATATACGCGTGGCTACAAAAACTTAAGGTTTATATGGTAAAATTGTTACTCCGAGTAAGGATTCCTATTCCCAAAGTCGGTATTTGAATGACAAAAAGGTTCATTTTTTAATAATTTGTGATGAAAATTGTTCAATTTAGAGCTCGGCCTCCACTCCATACAGTGGCGCTTATGAAAACTAAGTGTCTGTATGGAAACGATGTCTTATTTTTAATATTTATGGTGATAGAAATGCATAGCCATAAGATCTATGACAAAAATCGAATTTTGCCAGATTTAGACAAATTCAATCTATATTTTATGTCGTATGAGGACTCCCATGAAAAATATGCATTTACAGGAAAATAAGTTGTAATTTTTAATAGTTTATTATGAAAACGAACGAAGAATTGCGTACGGTGAATAGTGGGGGATATTCAATTGTCGGCCCTGCCCGATTCGAATGTGTGCACTTGTTTTTAAGATAGAAGATTCGATCGAATTAGGGGAATACATGTTTTTCATTCGCTGTAGTCGCTTTCAAGGCAACATTTTTCAATTTCACACAACTCTGCGACTGTTTTTGCTACATGAACTTTTTCATTTCAATTACTTGAGTATACTTTAATTTTATTTAATCTGTGTCTGAAAATAAAGTTTGTATAGTTTGGCGCAACCAGGTCTCTGATGGCGTTCACTTTTTGCTTAAGAACAAAATGGGAATTTTGATCGTTTTGTACTTGTTCAACCGATGTTTTCGTCGTGGTGAATTTTTGTTTGTTTGACTGCATGATGAGCATTTAATTCAAAACAATGGTTTATCGTTGGAAATGTCTTGCGTCCAGTTGTGCCTCAATGGCAAGACTTTAAAAAACCGGGATTAAGTGTTTGAGTATGAAATGGTGAATGAAACGTGAAAAAGAGTTTTCTTTACATCTGCTATTGCCGCTTAAAGGGGCAACAGCAGATTTTATATTAAGAATGCTCTTGTGAAGTTTTTCTGGTTCGTACTCCTATTCTCACTACGTCAGTAATGAAAATAGCTCAACTTAATTGCACTAGCATTCGTGATAAATCCAAACAGTTTGAACAATATCTTTATTGTAATGATATGTCCGTGCCTTGTCTTTTCGAAACTTCTCTTAAGTCTCACGAATCGTTTTCTTTAAAGATTACCACATGCTAACATTTGATGGCATCTCCAACTACTCTTATGGTGGTGTCGTTGCGATATTTATATTTAATAAACTTTCGTTCTCTTACGCTTCCAAATTTGCAAATTGCATGCTTATTGAAGCTTGTAGCTGTATCATTCGCATATCCTTTGGTGAGCTTTTGATCATAACTTGTTATATTCCATCTAATTGTAATGTTTCTGGTTCTCAAAATTAACAGTTTACTTTCTCTCAGATCCCACATGTCTGCATTAATATGTGGTAATTATGATGTTCATAGAGCGTGTTATGGTAGTCGCGTCTCCAATTCATGATTTTCTTGAAAGCAGCAATTTAGTTCAGCTAAATAATGGTACTCATGCTCGTCCTGGTTCCGGCTCCTCCTGCATAGATCTTTCGACCGGTACACCTAATTTTATTTCACTAAGTACTTAGACGATCCTTAACGATACCTTAGGGTTGTTTAATTGAAATTGGTCTTCATTTACGTTCTATTGCCCGTAGCCGCTCATATAACCGTGCACCAGAGTATATTAAATCCTCTTTAGTTAACAATACTATCCGCAACGTTTCAAATACCATCCAAACCAATGGATCTTCGGCTTGTTTCTTTAATGCGTTTCAATAATGCTCTGAGCCGAAAGACTTCTAAAAAATCACAACTTTCTTATATTTGGTGGAACACCAAGCAATGCAATCGGTGTAATCGCTACCGAACTTAGAATCACTGCAGATAAATGCAAGCGATCTTCTTCTAAGATAAATTTCAAATTTTCGGCCAATGTTAGAAAGGAATACACGTATACTCTCAGGCTGGAAAAGCGGAAAGGCTGTGAACATGTCAATTTCAGATTTTTGGCGTGCTGTGAGACTTTTTAGAGGTATCACTTCCCCGCATTGTTCCATACCCACACAGCTCTTTAACGAGTTTTGTGGCAAGTTCGTTGGATCTTGTGTTCCTTTAATCCCCTCTGTACGACTTGGTGAGGAAACTCGCCAATTAATCTTAATTCCTTCAGATATGTTGCCTTAGTTTGCAACCTTGCAAAAATTTCCAAGAAAGTATTAAATTCACGTTTAGAATGGTATCTCGATTCCCAATGTATCCTCAGCAATTTTCAATTGGATGTTAGACGTTACACATCTGGCCAAGACAAGATTGTCGCTTTGTGGTCAGCAATCAACGCAGCATCTGCTAAGAACCATGTGCTCATTGCCTGCTTTCTGGACATAACTTCAGCGTTTACTTCTCTCAATGTTAACACCTTAAATTTGATTCTTATCTCTGTATCTCTATATGACCTCTTTCTCTGCAAGAACATATTAATTCACGGCATGATATTGTTGTACAAAGGAGATCCTTCACAGGTTTTTCTCAGGGGTCTCTATTGAGTCCTGTATTGGGTGATATATTAACAAAATCAGTTTCAGTTTCTTTCATGAGAACGTTTCAATTTTGGGCTACGCTATTCCCACTCGGTCCAGATTTCCCTCGACACTATTTCTGCTCGTCTCGACTCATCCGAACTTACACTTTCGATTAATAAAACCAAATGCATGGTCTTTTCAAAAAGAAGGAAAGACCCTTCGGTTGCTCCTCTTCTCATATATCGTTATTCGATGCCGTTTGTTCGACTTTTTAGACCTTGTTCTACACTCGAAACTTTCTCTTGCTAAACAATGTTTTCAACTCATTAACGTTTCTTGGGTGCCGACACTTTTTGTATGATTAAATTGCATCTCGGATTAGTCAGGCCAAAATTAGAACACGCTTGTTCGCTCCTATTGGACATTTCAAATAATCTGAAATTATGCAGAATCCAATGGAAACGGCATCGTTAGGCCCCTGATGGCATGAATTCTACATCCACACTAAGCTTGGAACAGATGGCAAATGTTATGTCTCTACAGGAAAGATTTCGTTTACTCGCCAATTTTTTATGTAATGAAATTCTATCTTCTGAGAATGATTCAATCTTACCTTTCAATTACAACTTTATATCACCCAGTTCCTTTCCTTCCTGACAAAATTAATAACTTCAATATTCCAAGAACTGATGTACATAGCTTAATCAGCCTTTGGTTCTCAATAATTTCGGCCAGTAATTAATATCTTACTCGAATTCGGTCAATACCAAATGGAAGCAATTTTCACTCATCCTTACTGATGGATCTAAGACCGATGTGGTAGATAGCAGTCGAAATATTAATATAGATTGCGATGCTATAAGCCATCCGCTTAGCGAATACTAAGCCTAAAAAGAAATTTCTTATAGTGCCCCTCTTTGCTGGTTGGCAATCATTTCCATCCCCTTACAGCCACAAATTAAAATACATTTTGTATGAAATTTCTCTGAATGCGCAGTTGCATGGGCATTCTTGGCAACACCACTGCAGATAAAGATGCATCTTTCAGACCATCTCATTTTAATAATTGTGCTCCAATTTCTGCAGACTTGAGGCCAATCGAAAAAAACATTCAGTTTTTTTTTGGCCGCAACGATGGAACACTTCGCTTTATGGTCGTCATTTATACCTTTTATTTACACAAGTAAACAAAGCTCCTTGGTTTATAAATAGCGGACTATGACGTGACATTATTTGCCTTATCATCTGGCTGATGTTTAATCACACGAGATGAAATGATCGTCTATTCAAAATTAACACAGTGAACAGCTCTTTATGTACATATAGCGTCTTGCAATCCCCTGATCATATCCTGTCTGTCCGAGTATTGTCACTTCTATTTGCTATGTGGTCTTCATAACAGCAGCACTCTTGACATTTCGTGTTCTGACAACTTAAAACCTTATTTCGCAATCTTTTTTTTTTTAAATCATGCCCTCATCAGATGTATAAACGTTTACAGTCAAATTATGAACCTGTCCTCTTCTACACTTTCTGATTTTCGCACTTATCAATTCTTTCATATGACACTTTGCAGCCATGTGCTGCATTACTTCTTACACAAAGGAATTTACCCCTCCATGAACTGTTCCATCCTACCTGGCGGACGAGTAATATGCATATTTTAATAAAAACTAAAAAAAAAATAACGTGGCGAACGTATAAATAAATATTAAAATAAGTAAATAATAATATTATACATCAAACCTAAGCCCAACTTCACTAAGGCTCAATCAAACAACCCAGTGTTCACATTGAGCTTTTCTTACATATCTCAGCGAATTTTCGGTTGTTAATTTGGCCTATATAAGAAGATGAAGAAGAAGGTTTATATATATATATATATATATTATTAGGCGAAAAGGCCATTATGAATTTTGAAATTTTCCTAAAATGAATACAAAAAGCTCTTGACCGTTTTCACAAAAACAAATGCATAAAAATATTGTGTATTTAATAATGAACCATAGATTATTTAGTTTGACATCATAGTGACAGTTCTCTTATTCTTTCGTATGTGGGATGAGGGCAATTTTTCTTTTTTTATTTACTTTTGCGCAGTTCATTTCCTCTCGGCTCGTTTTTCTCGTATGAGCTAATGCCGTAACGTTTGTCCTTTGGTTTTGAGCTTTGCCTCCGGCGATATCTGTTTCTGCTTTCCATTTCGTTTACCATCTCCATTTCCATTTTTGGTTTTTCTTTTCTTTTCGGTCTGTTTCCCCGCTTTCCGAGCCTTACGTCGGCAACAGTTCGCGTTTTTATCGACAACATCCTATAAACGTAGGAAGATTTTTATATATTTTTCAAATCTTTTCTTTCTATTCTTACCTCATTAGCTTCTAGCACTTCAAATTTCAGCCAGGATTTCCCTTTCAATGTTAGTTGGAATAAAACCGGAAGGTCTTGCTCTAACTTTTTATTACATAACACTTGTGATGGTCCCGGTAATTCGGTATCTATTTCTACACCATCCATATTAATATACAACACGTAAAATTTATTCCGTTATTGACATGAAAATGAAAAATAATTTTTATGACTGCAAAGTCTGTTAACAAAATTCAAATAAAACTTCAAATAAAAGTCTCAAATAGTACGTTCGCTAGCAGTGGCATAAGTGCACATATTGACACAAAGTAGGCATTGAATCAAAGAAAAAAAAAAAAAAAAAAAAAAAAAAAAAAAAAAAAAAAAAAAAAAACAGGCACGGTTGAAAATAATCAGAATCAATCACAAATAGAACTAAAGAGCATAAGTGAAAATAAAAGAAAACCAAATATAATAATAAACTCAAACGAAATTTCTTACACTACGAAATTTTCCCTTCGTTGTTCTATTCTACATGGCGGATGAGTAATATGCATATTTTAGCAAAATTTGAAAAAATAACGTGGCGGACGTATGATACGCAAAAACAAAGAAATAATAATAATTATAAACCGAACGTAACCGTGACTTTACTAAGGCTCAAGCAAAGAACTCTGCGTTCACATTGGGCCTGTCTTCCACATCTTAGCGAATTTATGTACGTGTGCCAACATTTACGAAAGATTTTAATCAAACAGAATATAAATGTTTGATTTTTTTAATTGCAATTTTCTATTGAATCGTACTGTGCATAGGATAGGGCTATATGTGTGGAATAACATATCGGGTATGTGGCCTCCACTGCTTTGCGGGCTCTTTTATTGAAATTTTGATCAGCCAATGTCTCATGCTGTAATTGAAGGGATATCTGGTATGTAACACCGTCTTGCCGAGACCACATGTCGTTCACATCAATCTCATCCAATTTAAGCAGAAAGTATTGCTTCGTCATAACCATTGCTCATTTACTTTTGAAATAACGCTCAACCAAACCTAAACTGTCAGCTGTAAAAATATTTTTTTTTTGGTTTGCCAATATTTTACTGGACAAATGGCAGCAAATTCAAAGTTTGCGTAAATTTTGGGACACACTATGTAAATGTATTGGAGAAATGCAAAAAAAAAAAATAAAAAAAAAAAATAAAAAATAAAAATAAAAATAAATAAATAAATAAAATAAATAAATAAAAATGTACATATGAGCATGAGAACAATTGTAAATGGCTGTGAGATAACACTATTGCACGCATAGAAAATTGTCAATAAACATGCATTTATGTGATGAAACTTTACACAATATAAACGTAAGCAAGGAACTTCTGCAAAAAGCGACTATAATGGTGATAAGCACACACAAACACATATAACACGAACAAAAGTTGAGAACTAACCAAAAACGACAATTTCCTCACAAATGCTATCTATAGCGAAATAGGGAATGGAGTAATCAAGTGAGGAGAGTTCATCAAAATAGTCGAATTATGGCATCGAGATGTCAATGCTCTCTTATAGTAATGCGTGCATTCGACGTTTGTTGTGTTTTCTTTTTTTTTTTGTCTTTTTTTGTTTTGCTTAATACAAATAATACGGTAACATACGGTAAAATCAAGTTCCCTTCAAATCCGAAGCCGTGGAACGACCATTAGCCGTTACATATAACTTTGCGGCGAGAGAAAGCTCAGAGTCCAGACTGTACCTATGCGTTTTCTGCATTCTGTGCTAATAAATGCAAATAGAATGCAAGTAGGATTCGCTTCAAGCGCGATGATTAGATTGATAAGAAGGCATCTAATAGATAGCTTTTTGAATGGGTGAGCAGGAACGTTTCTTTTTCTCAAACATTTCACTTGCGAGAGCTTGTAGATCGTTGGCTCGCATTCTTGGGCCAAAAGCCTGGGATGCTTACTTTTAGTCGCCGAATAGGACCCTTTAAAGGCCTGAGTAGATAATATTCCAATAGTTACAAGTGTAAAAAGATACAATGGAACAGTATAGCCTTTCAAGCCTATGCAAACAGTTCAGACTTTTACTCATGGCCGTGGTTTTCGAAGAAAGTATTAACGATTCACTTTATGAAATATTTTGGTTCAGCTATTCAAGCATTACAAAATTTGCTGTACGTAGCTTAAACGCAACTATAAAGTAACAGAAAATTTTGAATTATTTCCTTTTCGTAAATCGTTTATTAAATGTTTCCTAGATATTTATGGATGCACGGCTGTATGTAGCAATGTATTTGCATTACGTTGCAATGGCTATAGAATAGAAAGTTTCGCTTTATTTTGTACGTTTCGTTTCAAGTTGTTCTTCGGCTAGGAAAGAACGCAAGCAAACAAAGGACGGATCGAATCTTTCCGACAAACCCTGACCTATAAATTTATTTTGCATCAAAATTGATGCAAATTTCTCAAATCCAAACCTTGTCTGCACAACTTGTTACCTCACTTAATCTTCATACGTGCTCAAACATGCTACTATGTAAGAAACATTAGTAGGAAAATTTTAAATCTTTAGAATTTTTCAATTTTCAGTCGAACCTATTTGCCCCTTTAGGTGATTTTCGAACTTAATATCAGACTATCAAATATACTGGATTGAATGTTTCAACTTCTACTTTCGATACGCTTTGATTAAACGTATACAAAAGGTGTGTACAGCATTAATCGGACAAATCCGTTGCAGTTCTGTATCTATCTTTAAAGACTTGCCTGCAAGTAATCACGTTAGTTAAAGTAAAAAAAAATCCTTAAAGTATCTCATAATAGTCGTCGCGAGGAAGCTTTATAAATAACATTATCAAGTTTATTGACGCTATAGAATATAGAATCGATGTTCTTGTTAAGTGAAAAGTTATGTTATATTATTTATTATTCAACTATGTATTCGTAATAGTGTGCGTCCCGATGATTAAAATGCATGTAGTTGCGCATGGATGTAATGTTAGCATCCTACCTCACTAATGGCAGAGAATATATTACGTTTGTACGTATCGCAATTTGTTTGTATCGCAATCGGAACCGAATCCGAGAATCGTTCTATCTCAAATAGAACGACACTTTAGAAACGTTATCTGAATCGATGTAAACTTGTCTGTCTGATGACGTCTGTCCATGTGCTTTTACGCTTAACATACGGGCCGCGATTTTTTGGAGTACATTGACGTATTTTGGCCTAGCGGTGAACGCTATTGACAATGGGTCATTGTCCATATAATACCCTATTTGAGGAAATCTTTATTTTTAAAATTATTTATTTTCAATATGTCTCGATAAAAGGCGGAAGAAATAGTTTTTTCGAATATTGAATAAATGTGGACCATTTGAATACGATGAGACCATATTTTAGATCTCCTTCCACATAGCCGTTCTTACCAAAAATAAGCCTCTATGTGACAACGAGATTAAATTTTTAGATTTTTTTAATAGAAATTGGTCCGGGGAGTGATGATTTTTCTCATAAACTCTCTAGAATGCATTTGGAGCGCATAGGTTGATTTCGATGGCCCGTTGCATTCAAGCAAGGGCTTTTCGAAAAGCAAGTCTTTTATGGTAAGACTTGACTTCAAAGACTTCTTTTTGGGTATTTTGTGGCGGAAACAGTTGTAGAATAGTAAAGAAAAAAAATAAATTTAGAAAATTTCAGTCACGACCCTTGAGGTCCGTCCTATATAGGGTCGCCCTATAATCAAATTTAATGTTTGCTGTGTTGTGATGAAAGTAATTTGTAATGAAAGAAGCGTATTAGGCGATGTAATATTTTTACTAAATTAACTATCATTCAACTATCGGCCTTGCCCGAGTATAATGATTTTATTTGTTTTCATAACAAATTGTTTATTGTAACAATTTCAGTATACACCTTTAATGGAAGTTTTGTTTGGCTTTTTTTTTTAAATTTTTATTCACACAAAACACATGAATGTTTTTCCTAATTGAAATCTCAATCCATCCTTATTGTGAGTGTCGATGTTGGCAAAACAAATTCCGTATGTTATGTAGTAATTTGCAATAAATTCAAAGTCTTTTTTCTCCAATTTTTAATATGCAGTGATTTTGTGCGATTCAATTTTTTCGACTAACGTTTCTCAACCGTTCAGTCACATCGGCGATATATGCATATTGAAAATGAAATGGAAAAGAAATATTTTAGTGATTATGTTCTTCAAGAATGTTGCTTTCATTTAAGAAAGCTGCTAAGGTACGGAATGTATTTTGAAGAAAACTGCAATATATATTAATCAGAATATTTTCTCTCATTTTTCACGACTTTTTCATATGTTTCTGGCAACATGACGATACCGTGTCGAAAGAACGACATTGGTTTGGCAGCGATGCAGTCATCGACCTATTTTCGCACTTCTTCAACATTTCGAAATCGCATGCCAGCCAAGCAAGGCTGCAGCGATCTCAATAAAAGGTTATGTCTAGTGAGTAGGCTGGATGCGGCAGAACTTCCCAGTCGAGCTGCAACAGAGTATTCTTAATAGTTTTTGCGAAGCGTAATAGAGCGTTGTCATCCAAGAGGATGACTTTGCGTCGGTTAGCCGCTATTACTGATCTTTCTTGCAACAATACTCACGATTCGTTCGATTTTTCCGATTTGTCCTTTTGGATTTGAATCTTTTCATCATCACGTGAAGATATCTAGAAATGGTTGATTCATCAACTGCTAAGCTGTTCGAAAGTTCTCTGAGTTTTCGTTCAATAAGTCGTGCAATTCGTTGTCTTCCAACTTTTTTGTTCTTCCAAGCCGCTCTTTGGCATGGACATCAAAATTATCACTTTTAAACCGGTTGAAACTAAAGCTGACAATTGGGATATGATGGAGCAGCATCACAATAAGCTTCTAAAAGTGTTTAATGGAAATAAGGAAGGGAATTAGGAATATTATAAATTGTGGGAAGCTTTTTTTTAATTGCGTATGTGTTACGCGCACGATCTGAACGAGAGAATTAATGCATGTTTATAGTATATATTAAAACGATATCACGTAGAGGTTGCTTGTTACTGCCAGCAGTCCTCTGAAATGAATGATTAAAGTTTTTTCACATATTTCGTTTTATTCTACAGTGTTCTTAACAGTTTCTCTGAATGTTACGCTCATTCACTTTCATATATATATATATTACAGTGGTCCTATCTTTTCCCATGTATAAAAAGCAAAATTTAAAGAAAATAAAGAATTTTTCTAATCTTTTTTGTATTAAAGCACATCATAATTAAATAGCAGATAAAACCTTCTCGTAGCAAATACCAATACCAATGACTATTACATATTATGATAA